AATTCTTTTTAATATCTCATTGCTTTTTTATTTTTCCCTTGTTGTTTTCTCCATCACCATCTCTTAATCTCCCGGTCCACTAATCTTATAGACTAACTAGAGTATTGTTATCCTGTGATGTGATGTTATATGATATGGGCTTTGCAGTCACTAAATTTAGGTTAGCTAACACTTTCCCTAATAAAAGCTTCTTCCAACCTTCACTGTGAGAAGTACTCACTTGTTTACAGCGGGCCTTTTGTATTCAGAATGCCCCCAGCATGCAAGCAGAATGCTCCCCAGGGTTTAGAATTGCCTTTCTTTTGTCCTGTGAAATTTCATTCAGTATTTGCCAAGATACAAAGTGTTAAATTTTGCCATTTTCCCACTCTTGTTTCTGTTACTCAGGAAAATTATGGCAGCAAGTCAAAACCATAAATGTACTGTTCTGAGGTTGGTCTCAGCAACAGCAACATGCACTACACTGCAAGCTACCAGAGCAGGTGTAATAGGCTACTCCCACCACATGGCCCCAGTGCACTACATGGGGCAGGAGGAGAGAGAGAACCAGGCTGGGCTTCTCACTCCTGTTAAACCCCCAGAGTCTGGCCCTGGTGATCCCAATCACCATTAATACATTATTATTTGTATTACCATACCATCTAGGGGCCCTAGTCATGGCCCAAGACCCCATTATGCTAGGCGCTATACAAACACAAAACAAAAAGATGGTCCCTGCCCCAGGCCACACTCCCCTTAGCCACCCAGGGAGTCTGAATATAATTCCAGGAGCCCCTCTCATACACATCCTTTTCCCCAAAACAACATGTGGGGCAGGAGCACCCTGGAATGGGGGGATAGAGCAGAGGTGGGCAAACTACAGCCCGCAGGCCACATCTGGCCCGAGGGACCGTCCTGCCTGGCCCCTGAGCTCCTGGCCAAGGAGGCTAGCCCCCAGGCCCTCCCCTGCAGCCTCAGTGTGCCACATCGCCAGCGCTCTGGCCCGCTGCTCCTGCTGAGCAGCGCGGACGGTGTGGCTGGCTCTGGCCGGGCTATGGGGCTGCGAGCTCCTGCTGCTCTGAGCAGCATGGTAAGGGGGGTTGGATAAGGGGCAGGAGGTCTCGGGGGGGCAGTCAGGGGATGGGGAGCAGAGGGTGGTTGGATGGGGTGGAGGTTCTGGGGTGGGCAGTTGGGGATGGGGAATGGGGGGGGTTGGATAGGCGTGGGAATCCCGGGGGAGGCTGTCAGGGGTTGGGGTGTGGATAGGGGTTGGGGCAGTTAAGGGACAGGGAGAAGGGGGGATTGGATAGGGGGTGTGGATAGGGGTTGGGGCAGTCAGGGGACAGGGAGCAGGGGGGGGTTAGATAGAGGGTGGGGTCCCAGGAGGGGGTGGTCAGGAGACCAGGAGCAGGGGTGTGTGGATGGGTCGAGGGTTCCAAGGGGAGCATTCAGGGGGTAGGAAGTGGGAGGGGGCGGATAGGGGGCCAGGCTGTTTAGGAAGGCACAGCCTTCCCTACCCGGCCCTCCATACAGTTTCGCAACGCCAATATGGCCCTCAGACCAAAAAGTTTGCCCACCCCTGGAATAGAGCCAGGCCAGGCTGAACTCCTCAAAACCACCCTCCAGACCCAGCACCTGGACTCCGTTGTCCATCCTGTTCACATGCTGAGGGGCTATCTGATCACCATAAGTGGGGCTGGGAAAGAATTCTCCCCCAGATCAGATTGGAAGTGACAATGGGTTTTTCCATCTTCCTCTGCAGCGTATGGATGTGGGTCAGTTGTCAGGATTATACTGATAAGTCTCACCTAACCATTTCCCTGCTGTTGTGTGGGCCTTGGGCATGGGTGCACCTTGATGCCTCCTGTTCTCTGCCTGTGGCACATAGTCTCCTGTGACTAGTAATAATTTGGTCTTATTTCCATTGTTGAGTTTGCTGTGCAGGTGCTGGGTGGTGTTGGTGGCCTGTGATAGACAGAAGGTCAGACTAGATGGTCTGGTGGTCCCTTCGGGCCTGAAACTCCATAACTCAGTCTTCCCCCTCTGAGATAATGGCCTTCTCCTGCTGCCTGCTAGTGTGGTTAGTCTTCTAGCACAGGAGGTAGCATTCTGTGCTGCAAAGCTGAAAGTTCAGGATTCAAACACGGATGATGATACATAGTGGGTGAGGGATTGATAGTTACACATAATAGGATTTGGTTTTACCTATATCCTTACCAACCAACCCCCACCCACTCCCAAAAAACCACCCAAACTAGAAAATTTTAAAAAAGTTAAAAGAACGTTAGGTTGCAAAGTCAAGTGCTGCAAAGTTAGGAAATGCCAAATTCTGTTTGTGCAGCCTCAGTTCAACCCCCTTATGGGTATGTGTTATGATAGTCTAATTACCTGAGAGCATACTATTACTTCAGCACTCGGCTTCATTCAGTGCCCAGGATGGTCACTGTACAGGATGGAATTGAGGTTTCACAGGCCTCCTTAAATTTGACATTTCCTAACTTTGAGTGCTTGACTGTGCAACCTAAATAAGATTATTTTTAACATAGTGTGTGTCTGTCTCACACACACACACAAACAAATTTTACCACCCATTAATTGTATTTAATTTAGTGTATGCTTCTCAAGTATTATGACATGAGGATGGGTCTTTCAGATCAGTATCTCTCTGCTAACACTTTTTATACTGTACACCCTGTATACCAACAGGTACCAGTATGAGAACACCCAGAGCATTTCTTTGGGCTGGAAAGTCATTTGGACATGACTTTCTCCTGTCATTTTTACATCCAATGGTGAGGGGAGCATGAGCAGTTGTGTAAGTGGGTCTAAAACACCGCCAGGGAGGGAAGGAGTCCAAAAGGATAGTTTCCTGAAGGTTGGGAGCTTCAGGGGCTGTAACTTGATTATTGAAGTTAACATGATATTTTCCTTGGATTGGCTGAGACGGTGCCTTTCTCCTCTGTCACTGTTGTGTTGGGGCTTTTCACCCCTTTAGTTGCCCCTCAGAGCAACCCTGTCAAGTTGTCAGTGAATAATAATTTTTAAATAATAAATACAAGTGTTTAATTTTAATTTGTATTTATGCTTCAGCTTCATTAGGACGTAAAGGCACCTAAATGTCTAATAGTCAAATTACTATTTTAATTATTTTACTGACTTGTATATCCTGTCTATTGCATAGTAAAGAAACTGATACTGTAGTGGGGGAGAGAAGTAGAAAACAAAAAGAACTTTTTGTTAATAATTAAAATATTGTGTATGAAAAAGTAGGTGATCCATATTCATCAAATATGCAAATGAATGCATTGCATTATTTGCATTAAATATCCATGTTTCTGGAGCTTAAGTCTTAAGAGGTATGAAGAGGGAAACCAGCAGCAGAAGATCAGAAATGAGATCTGATTAACAAAAGCAAATTAGTGCCCAAGCTAAACCCTCATAAATGTTCCGAGGAATTTCACAGTGCTGCCAACAATCTGGCCCTTCGCACCTGGATGAAAACAGAAGATAATGGCCAAGAAAAGCAAAGAGCAAGGAAATAGCATGATGGATACAGTAGAAAACATTTAGACTCACAGACCTTCTTTAGATTATAGCTCTGATATTTAATAGAGGTAGAGTAGGAGATTGAAAGAAGATTAGGAGAAGGAAGGATTGTAAAAATAAGTAGGAGAGATTAAAAGTAAACCTCCCCAGTCTAATGCTGAATTAATGGATGAAGTCTTAAGAGCTCAGGCCATCTTTTATTTCCTTATGACAGATAAAGAAGCCATGTAAGATTTGTTTGTTTCTGTTTTAGAGAATCAGCCCCTAACTAACCTGAAAGCCACTCTAATGCAGGCATAGCCAACCTGAGCCTCAGAAGGAGCCAGAATTTACCAGTGTGCATTGCCAAAGAGTCACAATAACGCATCAGCAGACCCCTGTCAGCTCCCCCACTCCTGCTCCCTGACTCCCACCCCCAGTGTCCCATCCGCCACAACAGCACTGCCGATCGGCACCTAACCCTCCATCCATGTGCCTCCCACCCGCCGCAATCAGCTGTTTTGTGGTGTGCAGGAGGCTGGGGGTGGGGGCAGGAGGAGCAAGGGCGCAGCAGACTCAGGGGAAGGGGCCAGAGCCTTGGGGGAGGGAGTGGAGTGGGACTGGGACCTGGGGCAGAGCCAGGGGTTGAGCAGTGAGCACCCCACAGCACATTGAAAAGTTGGCACCTGTAGCTCCAGCCCTGGAGTTGGCACCTATACAAGGAGCCGCATATTAACCTCTGAAGAGCCGCATGTGGCTCCAGAGCTACAGGTTGGCCACCCCTGCTCTAATGACTGAAGAATTAGTGAAATGAGACCTCACAAGAGCCGTTTCTGATATTTCTAAAATAAAAAATGAGACTTTAAAATGTAACTAAGCTAAAAAGAATATGAAAACAAACAGAAAACTACAAACCTAGCTTCAGGTCCATTTTAAAGTTATGGTTCTACTGGGAGCCAGATTAGAAAACAGTTACTGCCAAACCTTAATTGTGAAGGGTTTGATGTTGGTTTTAGGGAACCCTTTTCCTAAAGGGAAATGGTTCCTATTAGTTCTCAGATGTCTGTAGCCTCTGTAACGCACTGAGATTTGGGCAGCCTAATGACCGGGAACATTTAATTCAGATCAACTTTGTTTAAACTAGTCTGAAGTCTTAATATACACTAAATTGCAGAAGTCTCTTTAACAGAAGACGTTTATTCATCTCACCTTTGTAAAGATACCTCAAAGATTTAAAAAGTCTTGAGAAGAGTGACAGAAATACCTACAAGTATGGTGGAACTTTTGTATGATCAGAGTTTGCAAATATTAGGATTTATTTACTCTGGAATGGAAAAGAATGAAGAAAGGGGCCTGCCTTTATTTATTTATGATTATGAAGGGCATTGTGAAAACTGATCAATCCCTTCTTTTTATCTGATATCATTAGTTTGATTAAATTAAAGGCAGTAAATTAAGAACAAATAAAAGAAAATACTGCATTACACAGCATATTGTCATCTTGTGAACTTCACTGCTTCATTGCGGCAGTAAATAGAGTCAAATGCTTTGGCTAACTAATGACCACGAAAAACAATGATCGTATTAGCAGTCAACAAATCTGATATATCAGAGCATACATAAACCAACTACCTGATAGGGTGAGGAAGGCATTCCTCCTACTGTATGGCAGTGGACAACTAATTCTGTAAAATGCAGGAGGATGGTGGTTTACCTTCCTTGAATGCATCAGGTACTGATCACTTATTCAGGAAAGATATTCAATGGGAGAGGTCAGTGGCCTGATCTAATATGGTAAATCCTATGACTACATAGGTTAAAGAATAGCCTCCCTAGATGGCTTATCTTGGCCCGCAGAAGTAAGGTACACATGCTACAAGTTTTTAGTAGATGACAAGAAACAATCATATCAGCTGAACAGTATTTAATGTAATATTCTTTTAAATAAATTTGGTGACTTTATATATAAATATACAACATGGTTCTCAGTATCAGCTTTTCATGAATAGGCAATAAATAATCATTAAATTAAATCAGACAATTGATATAAAAATAGAATCTCTTTTAAAATGTAACTACGATACAGGAGTTATATAAACCATGCTAAAACACATAGAGGTGTCTGAAAAGGACACCTATATCTAAAATCATAAATAGGTTGTTAATCCTCCCTAGGAGGTAATGAGCCTCTGTGACTTGCTTTAAGCACTCAGACAGCTATAGGAACTTTCACCCTGTTTTGCAGTAGATGGTGCTGCAAAGGCTGTTAATACACAGACAGTTCAGTTTATAATTGTGACTACATTAAGGCTGGCTACACATCTCAAAAGCTTCACAGATCAACTCTTCCTACATCCTAACTTCTTCATAGGCTTTCTTCTTTTTTCTTCTGATGATGATGCCAGAAGGAGAGAGACACATTTATGTTGAACGTTGATTTTGCTGTTCTCAGTTTAGGATTCAACTAATTCATCCTAATCTAGTACACTCCATTTCTCAAATCCTGGTGAGAACTGTGCACATATATTAACCTGCCCTACACTTTCAGTGACCCTTTGACCAGTAGCTTTTGAGGTGAGTGCAAGCCTGAGTAAAATAAATAAATGACACTAGAAGAGAAGTGAAAGGCTATAAAAACTAGGATTCTTAAATAAATTTTGCACAATTAAGCTTTTTAAATAATCTAGTTAACCAATGGCCTGTGAGATGGAAACACAGTGGAAACTTCTCTTTAAGGGTGAAACTCACTCTTTGTAAAGTAGCTCACACGAGGCCCAGGTACCACTTAAATTCTACATGAGGCTTATTTTGAGGGCTTAAATATAATTTAAGTAGTTCACAGTCCTTGTGCTAGAACTGCATAGAAGTGAATTTTACCCTATAATCAGGTTTCATTGTATATAATGTAGTAACTGATTATTCCTAGACAGTATTAGCCAGGCAGGATGTAGCTTATTAATTCTTCATGGTGTTAAAATACTTAATTTTTTTAAATTGTCCTTTATTATACTAAGATTTTTATAAAGGATCTTAAGGTGGTAAAATATATCCTTTAAAATGTTTTATAATAAATTAAGTACAATTTAAATACAACTACAGTTTCACACTAAGTCTGCTCGGCTACTTAATTTGAAAAATGGAGCAACTCATCCAAAGCATATACAGGTACAGTGCTTATCATCCCACACATTCTCTCACATAACAAAAACAAATCATATTTCATTGCAGACAGGAATCACTAATTAGCTTATGACATTCTGGTGAATATTGCTTCTCTAGAGCAGCCTTGCAAAACTGTCATAAAATTTACCACTCCAGAGACAAAATCTACTTGCCCACTATTTTACCTTGATTATCGATGAATATGGAAAAACTATTTTTCTTGCCAACCCAAAAAATTATTCTCCCCAGGAAAGTGGGCATGTAGAATTTTGTAAGGATACTCTAGAGTATTGACTGCACTCTTGAATGCGCACAGCAAATTACTGGAAAAGGCATTTACAAATATTTTTTTAAAACTACTGTACACTTTGGGTGAATATTTGGGCCCAGTCCTGAAGTCAATGGGATTTCTGCTGATGGAGGGCTTTTGGGATCTGTCCCTTCATCTATAAGCCTAGTATAATTTAGTAAAAGGAGAACTCGCTTTAGGTGAAATACATTGTTAATAGATTGTTCTAAAATATAAGTGAATTCTGTTACATTTAATAAAAAAATTTAAAACTTCTAATAGTACAAATATCAGCTGACACTTTGAGATTTAAGGACTGCCTTTAATATTCTCCAGTCATCTGGAGAATATTTGTCCTGATTTTCTTTAACTATTATAACTGCAAATCTCTCAGCCACAGCAATAGCTTTGCATATTGATTACCAGTAGGTCAGTTAAAGAACTTTGTGCATAACAAAATAGTAGAGACTAGAATAAAGGGGTGCCCAAAGGCATTTAAAAGTTCTTATTAGCTACCATTAATTTTTAGAATATTAATACTCAGGCAGTAAAATGGAAACACTGATTTAGAAGGGAACAAACATTTTCTGAAATAAAGCAAAAATATCTAAATCAAATTTAAAATGTCATCAGCCAAAAAGCAATGATGATGCAAGGGCAACTTTATCCTCTGATTGACAATCTTTTTCCCTGTTCAGATACATGTATTTAAAGTGATGCACATTCCAGGAAGATGCAGGGCACTTGGAAATGGACATTGAAAGATTCTTTGCTCACCAATTTCTCTTTACCAGAGCTTAGTGTGATAGTGGTAGAAATGAACTTATGTGTCTAATGGTACCTCTCTCTCATAACAGCTAATCCTATAGTCATTTTCCAATGTACTAAAATGTGTGAAATACACTTAGAAATAGGTTTATTTTCAGTTTCCTTCACCTGCAAAACATCCCTGTGAAGTAGGAATTAAATGGGAGGAAGCTGTTTGTGGGAGTCAGGAGCTGTATTCTAGGCTCTGCTACAGACCTCCTGTGTGGTCTTGGGCAAGTTGTTTGCACCTCGCTTTCCTCATCTAGGGATGAGACCTACCTCACAGGGTGTTTTTTGAGGCTATAGGAATTGATGCTTGTAAAGCATGTTAAGTTCCTCAAATGGAAGGTTCTATAGAAGTGCACAATATTATTTTAAGTAAACTATGGTGACATATAACTAAGCAGCTCAAACCTAGTTTTTAAGTAGAATGGTATTTACTTTTATTTTATGAAGGCATAAATGCTACCTTCAGTCGCAGGCCTGGTCTACCCTTAAAAATTAGATCGACCTACCAATGTTGCACAGGGCTGTGACCTAAACCCCAGAGCTATGCTGCACAGGGCTATGTTGGCAGACACATTTTTCTGTCGACTGAGCTACCGCCTCTCAGAGAGGTAAATTAACAGAAAAACTCCAAGCCAACAATGTAGGAAGTGTCTTACACTGCAGCAGCACAGCTGCAGAGTTCTACACCCAGATTCAGAACTTGTACAATAAAAATTCACATTATATATCTTTGACGCTTTTTTTAAAAAATTGCAATTAAAATTGAGACCACAAATATAATTGAATGGTAAATAGGAGAAGTAGTGTTCTGGAACACGAGTAAGAATACAAAAACATTAAAATATTGCCCTTCTAAGCAGACAATATGCTTTTGAGGTGCACAGCGTCCAGCGATCTTTAATTATTGTGTCTGCTTGATGATGTGCAAGGGGATGAAGGCCAACCAAACCAATTATGTTTAAACAAGTGCCTCTGCTGTATTTTTGATGTTAACATGTATGAGTGTTGGCGCTTACAATCAGAAAGGTGCCTGACTTCAAGCTCCTGAAATATTACTCTGTATATCCAAGAGATTTTAGATTTTCACTTCTTAAAATTTAAGGCTCAATGCAGCTCGTTTTAAAGTCAATGGCAACACCCCCATTGTCTTCAGTAGGGAAAAGGATCAGAGTCATTTTATACAGTTTGGGTTGTAAATGTATTTCCAGTAATTTTAAAATAATGAATATCAAAATATTAGTCTCTATACAACATAAATATTTCAACATGTACTTTTGATAAAAGTAAAATACAGTATATTTATCAGTAGTTGACTAGCAAAAAGCTCCAAATACCCATAAATAAAATTGTGTGTGTGTGTGATAATGAAGATAAACAAATTGGTCCAGATACAATCATAATCAAACTCTCTTGCAATTTCAGAAATTCTAATTAGCTTTTCTTCTTTGCCTTTTTTCCTTTCTTTTTTTTTTTTTAAAGGTTCAAATAAGTCTGTTTATTTAATTTGGAATCAAACAAGAACAAGGCTGCTACTCATGGTATTTCTAAACCAGCTAAAATTGGGGAATACTTGAAATCTCATGAGAGAACCTTTTCCTGAGAAATTTTGAGCCTAATTTCCAGCATGAGGGGAGGTTCAGATAAGCTTTGAATAACTATCCAACTCATCTAAACATTTTGAGGAAGGTCCATCACTAATGTACCCAACATACAACACATCATAATGTTCAATACACAATATTTACATTTTCATTGTTGTCTTACATAATATAGTGTCTGCTTTAAATAGTGGATGTCCAGTAGTCTTCATATCCTTGTGTCCTAAATGTGAAGTTTTATGATTCGCTGTGAAAACAACGTATTGTTAAAAATGTTGTAAAATAATGGATATTACAATGTTCTAAAAGACTTCGGCAAAATGAAAGGCAAAATGCCAAAAACTTATAATGAACAATGAATGTTAATTACCTCCTGTAGCAGTGATAGAAAGCTGTCCAAAAATTGTCTGGGGGCTTCTTTAGCATAAGATTCACATGGAGAACAATTCTGGAAGACAAAGAAAAGAGCTTCTTATCAGACATGCTGGATTTGAAAAGTGTATCATAACAAATAATAATTTGAGATCATTGAATGAAAAATATGTGAGGTACTAAAAGTGGGTAAGTAGTGTTATCTTCTTTTAACGGATGGGAAAACAGAGGTATAGAAAGATTAGGTAGTAACAAAGTAAACCAATGGCAGTCAGAAGAAGCACCTACATCCATTGATTCCTATTCCTTTACACTAATCAGGAGACAACCTGACCTCCATCTTACACATTTCCCATTATTTAGCTCCATGTAAACAGTTGATTAGTAGGACCAGAATGAGTGTGATCTTAAAAAGAATTACTAAGTATATTTACATCTTTCACTCTTAGTAAAACTTAAAGAAGAATCTGTACTTCTACCAAGCTTTACAGTTAGGACATAATAAACTATGCAAAATATGGTGCAATTATTAAATTAGGGAACATGTCAAACAATCCTACCATGTCAGTAATGGTGTGTGTAATAACTGGTCTCCTCAACCTTGTAATCATGACTTCAAAATTACGAGATGATTGGCTGTTTGCTGGCTCTAAGTGTAAGCTTGCATTCTGGAAGCAGTTGAACGCAGAAGACAGGCATTTACTCTGGAAGACAAACATTGAAAGTAATTAAATTACTGCCAAATATTTCTAAAAAGTAAACTAACACTTTTTTACATTTGCTTGGTTTTTTCTATGATTCCACATGCATAGTTCTCTCATTCTAACAAATCAATGAGATCTAACTCATGTCTTTTTTAAAGTTTACTTATTTTGATTTATACACATCCACTATAAAAGAGCCTGTACCCCTTACTCTGGCTGCCTCTTGACAAATTTTAAACATATATTTTTAAAATAGACAACTCATAAAATCTCTCTTTGGCCATTAATCAACACACTGACAAACAAGAATTTAATCCAGAAATGAATCTTGCTATATCTAGTGGGTTTTTTTGACATACATAAGTAGAAATGTTTTCTTCTCATAATTAATGAATGCCCTACTGAAGTCTTTGTTTTGTGTACATATAAATATGCATTTTGATCCTCCATGCCATTTCTAATATCACATTTAATAATACTTAGAACTTACATAGGGCTTTATATTTTCAGAGCACTGTACAAATCTTAAATATTCCCATTAAACAGATGAAGGAATGGAGATGGAGAAATTAAGTGCATTGCTTAAGGGCAATGCTGGGAGTTAGGGGCAAAGGTGGGACAAGAACTCAAGGAATTCTGGCTCCCAGATTTACTTCATCCTATTAAATCACAATGCTGTTATTTCAGCTTTAAACTCAGATGCACCTTAAACCATAGGACAGATAATCGAGCAATGATCGTATCTACTGTGAGAAAATTATCTCATTTTTCTTTATGCTTTGGTCTCATGGCATAAATTTTCCTAGTTGCACTTATACCCAGAGCAAAAGTTGCCTATTTTTTCCCCACTCGTATTGCTATGGTTGGTTAATTTTATTAATACTGGCAGCATGACACTTTGACCCATCCAGAATCTCCCATCCTGCGCAGTGGTCATTTTCCTTCCTATGCATAGCTGTGGAAACTACCGCTGAAACTAGCTACTCAATGGAGAGAGAGCAGCATTGTTTACTGTAGCCAATTTCTAACCTGCTTTGCACTTTCCAAAGAAAAAAACGCTCAGAAATGCTGATTATGCACATCAAGGAAGAGATAAAACCGTCATCTTTGTTTTGCATACCAACTGCTACCCAAACTCAATCTCATCCGGTACACAAAGTGTCAATGCATTTGCTTCTCATGCAAGGACCAGACGATGTTCTCACTGTGTATTTCTTATAGAACATTTTTAACAGAAACCCTTTATGTCAGTCAGATTTAGCATTATATTTTCCTTAAAAACCACACATTCATGTTTGTCTCAGGCTTTTTACTGTAACCAGTCTAACTTACTGGAAAAAAAAAACATTCATTTTAAAGAGCTCAATTTTCCAGCTGAAACTGAAAACATTTTCTGTCTCATCTGTGATGAGCTGAGAAACCAGCGTTTCTCATATAGGCACAGCTTTTTTTTTTTTTTTTTTTTTTTTGCTGACTTAACAATTACCTCTAGATTGGCTAACCGTCAAATAAACACAAGGATTCTGCCTGTAGACTATTCATGCATAGCTAAGAATACTGATTGATCGATGTTAAAGTTTGCCCCAAAGTCATGGGAAGCTGGTGACATCTGAGAACGGGTAATCAGACGTGCACGGTTGCCATATCAGAAGTAATTTACAGCAATGGGTAAAGGGTATTTTACGTCTGACTCAAAATAATGTTGCTGCTTACCCTGAAGAACCTTCACTTCCTGAGCTAGGAACCATGGTGCCAGAGTCTCAGCTAGTGCAAATCAGCATAGTGCCATTGGTTTCAGTAGAGTTATGTCTATTCTTACTAGCTAAGGATCTGACCACATTCCTCTTTGCAGTTGAACTAATTTTGCCTCAAGATTATCAACTTCAGTATATTTTCTTCTCTTTGTTGATGTTGTCGTTTTTTAAACTTGTCCTCACCCACTATGGTGAACTGGTGAACACACAAGAATTGTGTGGGGTTGCATTGGGGCTAACACTCAGTCCACTCACAGGAAGCTCCAAGGAAGTCAAAACCGACTGTGACAAACCACTGAATTTTGGGTCATGCGTAAGGCAATCTTCTTCCTGTATGTACAGGACCAAATTCAGCCCTGGGATAAGCAGGTACAGTTTCATTGATTTCAGGGTAATTGCACTCAGTTACACTAGCCCTGACTTTGTCACATTTGATTTCATGGCTAACCTGTTGGAAAAGTATGTAATTCAATCAATACAAATTTAACACAGATGATAGAGACCACAAACACCCAGTGCAATCATTAGCATTTGAGATCTTTACTGACCGTGAAGTATGATTACTTTTAAGCCCTTTATCTGTGCACTAAGGGATTGCAGCAGTGACAAGTTTAATGTGTTCTGAGAAATGCTGAGCTCTTAATGAAATCAAAGGGTGTGTTCAGCCCTCACAGGATGAGACCCTAGAACTGTACTGTGAGTTGTAAGTGAACCACTATCTCTCTTCCTGAGCTCGGCTGACAATGTTGTTTTGAAAAAGTTATGATTAAGCAGTTAGTCACTAGCTATAGTCGCTTTATTTCTGGGATAGTGGCAAGTTTATCTCAGTGACACAATAGCTAATCATCCAATAATTTTCACTTTGACATGAAAATGTAGACATTCAAAGACATTTTAAAAATCCCCAACAATTTGAATGTCGTGGGATTTTGCATTGCATGTATTCCCAGCAGTGACATAGAGGAGGTCTGTGTGGGTCATGCATGCTTATAAAATTTGTTCTCTTTTCTGGAAAGTAACAGAAGCTAAGTAAAGACCATAAGGAGTGTAGCCAAAACAGTCCAAAACAAGGTGAGTTTTTCCTTTCTTTTGTTCTGCAGTAAGTTTACAAAGCTGAAAAAATAGCATAACAATTTATGCATGCTTTGCTGAATCACCATGCCTAATAATAATCTTTGTATACTAGTCAGAAAAATTGTTTTAAGTTTTCTGAAGTATTTGCTGTTGCTCAAATCTGTATATTGCAGTTAAAGCGAAAGCAGCTGATGCTTTAGCTAAGCGTTATATTAAATAAGTACATGTTAGGTCTAAAACTTAGTTCTGCATTGGTGAATGTCAGAAGAAAGCACAAATGGAACTCATTCACCTTCTAAACTTTTGAAGCGTGTGGACTTTATTTTGTTCTTTACATTTAATTTTACTACATGTCCTGCAGTGAGATAATTTCCACTGGGTGCAGGCGTTCTCTGACTTATTTAAATGTTACTCTGATGTATAATAATAGTTCATGGAACTGAACAATGTAAATATACATACTGAAATGAGAATTTACAATGACTTATTCTTGTTGTTTTAATGAGGCAGAATATAAAGAAAATTTGGTCCAACAGACTATAATAATTTTATTTCTATTTGCCTGGTAATGTAGTCCTTCCTCATAGACTTTAATGTCAGAAGGGACCATCATGATCATCTAATCTGACTTCCTGCACAAAGCAAGCTAGAGAACCTCACCCACCCACTCCTGTAAGAGACCCCCCCTAATCTCTGGCTGAGTTACGGAAGTCCTCAAATGATGATTTAAACATGAGTAGTCTCTCAGAAGCCAGTAGGACTACTCGTGAGAAAGAGCTGCAAGGGCCTGTATTTCCACTTTTGTTACTTCAGTTCAGTGAGTAGTTTTTCATTAAGTGCCTGATTCTGCAAGGTGCTGAGACCTTTCAATTCCTAGTGCACTCAATGTAAATTGAAGGTGTACAGCATCTTCACAGGACTGAGTCCTTGAAGAGTAGTACTGATTATCAAGCAGCTGTGTGAATGTCTGGAACAGGATTAAATTTCAAGTAAAAGGAATACATCCAGATACTATGGCAATGGGTTCTTTAGAAATATACATATTATAATAGTATTAATAATACAGTACTAAAGCATACTGTAATATTAATCTGATATTTAAAACAGAAGTAAGAAGCAACTTCTATGTAAAGTATTTTCTGTTTTTTTTAAAATCTAGTGTTCAGAACAGTTTCAAATCTACTATTAAGAGAACCAGGTCATGTGTCAGAAAAAAAGCAGTTGTCACTTTTAAAGAGAATGAACCTATTTAAAATAAATTCAGTATATTCGGAAGGATATGTTAAAGCAGTCTTACCTCAAAGTCTTCTGGCATATTCAGAAGTTCAACATCCTAGAATAAAAAATTAAATTAGTATTTTTAGATACTCCCGTTAGGTGTATTCTCAACAATACGTACTGAGAACATTTTATAGACAGACTTTTTTATATTGCCAAAATACTGTGCTTACCTTAACTTTCACTATTTTTTTCAACTCCTTGACTGTCTTTACAAGCTCCTTGTATCTTAACTTTGTTGGTGCAGCTGCACTCAGCAGTATACTGGAACAGAAGAAAAACAGACAGAAAACGATCATCCTCTCCATAGTGATGGGTTTAGTTTTAAAATATGCCCAGAGTAGAGTCAATGCTATCCAAGAAGTACACTTCACTTTAACTGTGCTCAGGTACACTGCATACCTACCTATTTATTGATCCTTACTGAAGATGTAAACCCACCCATTTCAGTTTGGAAAGCTTTGTAGAATGGATTAATGAGTAACCCGTTTTTCTTTTCCACTGGCTAGGTGTATGTGTGTGAGTTAGTGCGTAGGGGGCAGGGATTGATGGAGTGAATAAAAATATGCCCCATCTGCACATTGGACAGGAAAAAAAAAAGGTGAATTCCCATTTTCACTTTGAGTCAAGAAATGAACACAGTAAATAATAGGTACTTAGAAACCACAAGCCTAAGTAAACAAAGATGCTGCATTTTTTTCTGTCTCATACAGCATCTTACCTGTGCTATCGCACAAATGCATGTTTGTAATAGCACTATAATAATGAGTAAAGTGGCAGCACTTACTTCTCTTGCTACAGAACTTGGGGGGAGGGATAGCTCAGTGGTTTGAGCATTGGCCTGCTAAACCCAGGGTTGTGAGTTCAATCCTTGAGGGGGCCATTCAGGGATCTCAGGCAAAAATTGGGGATCAGTCCTGCTTTGAGCAGGGGGTTGGACTAGATGACCTGCTGAGGTCCCTTCCAGCCCTGATATTCTGTGATTCTCTTCATGACTCTTTATATATATATATACACACACACACAAACATTTACCCTAGCTTATTAGTTTCCTCTGGTTTTTGTGGAATACCGTCTTTCAGATACTAGAATTATTTTGGCATTTTCAAAATAAGGAGTCATGGCTTGGTTTCTGTGGCTGAAAGTGTCAGTTCATTCAACATCTGAACTAGCTGAAGTATCCTGTAATTACTATATTAACTTCATGAGCACTGCCAAGTGTTTTAATTACACCCTAGAAAATATATCCACTGTGCTATGCTGCACAGCATAAGTCCCTGATCCTGCAATGAGCTCCAGGCAGGTAGACCCTTGCACCTGTGCAGAGCCCGATTGAAATCTGAGGTCAACCAACATGGAGTATATTGCAAGATCAAGGCCTAATATGTCACTGATTCCAAAGAAGCTTATTGTTGGATAACAGCAGCTGTGGTGGTTAAACACATTCAACTATATTATGGGAATACAAGTCATGGTTCCATCGTCGAGTTTATTTTTGCACTTAAAGCAACCAATTTGTTGTGTATGAAGGATACTATACTACCTATTATTTGAGTACACAATGAATTTTCTGATCATTTAAAAGTAAATAGGTTAATTAGTTTGACTTAAAATAAATTAAAATGAGGATCCTTTAAGAAATTTAGCACTCTGTGTTAGACCCATGTTCTCTTCCCCTCCCCCAAATGACTTTAATTATGCAATAAAGCAGACTTTTCATATAGTGCAAACTCACTGCAATCTAGTGAACTGACTTCATTTGAAATTTATTTATGATTAATGTTTGGGGGTTTTTTATTCTCCATAAGTGAGAGTTTCTTCTTCAGCAGAGGCTGATGAATAATGTTCTGTTATACAGAATTCGAAGAATTGCCTTCTTGCTAAATGACTGTCATCTCCCATTGTTTTCAAAGGGAGTGAAGCTAAATGTGTCCTTGTCAAATATGCCTTTCTTTCAAAATAGCCCCTGCCTGCCATGGGGCCCAGATCCTATAATGGACACTGTTCTAGACAGATTGCTATGCCTGTGTGGAACTCCAATGACTTCAGTGGAGTTATCTGTGTACCCAGGGATTCCCTTATACGTTGCAAATGCTGTACTAGGGCTGTAGTTGGGCCACCACATAGGGCATCACCCTCTGCTCCAAGAGCAGATTTGCTTCACACCCATTGTTCCCAAGAATGACACCATAAAGAGGAGAAAAAATGCTAGTGTCTGAAAATCAGTTAAATCTGGAATGAAAACACTGTTATGCAGCAGTTATAACTGTATGGCATTACAAAAGGGCAGAGTTAAGGTTATTTGAGCTTTTGAATTAAATCTTAACCTTTGAATTTCCTGGGTCTGTAGCAATTGTTTTGAGATAATTAAAAAATTGCTGTAACGTTTTAATCCTTCAATTAATAATATGTACTCAACCTTGACTCCAGTTTGACAAAACTGTACAAAGTGTGTGTTTATAGATCTCACATACACACACAGGTCAAGTATTCATGGTGATTCTTTCTGATCTGTCAGCATAGAGCTGGTGAAAAATAGAAAAAAAGTTCACTGACACACGGGCAAATTCAAAAACATTTTTATGTCTTTGTTTTTTGTAGTTTTGATAATTTTCTATATTTTTTTCAAACAAAATTTAACTGTTTTGAAATGTGGAAATTTTCAGAAAGGAAAATTTTCAAAATATATTTTTTATTTAGACCAAGTCCTACCCAATGGGTGAGATGGCAAATTAAAATTGGCAAAACAAAGAAATTGCAAAACCAAACTTAAAAAAAAAAAAAAACAGAAAAAAGGTAAAAAAAATATTTTGCAGAATGACCTAGCCGGCAACATTTTAAAATATTGGGCTGTTTTTTATCTACCCCATAGCTCTCATGTGGAATTCTAAAGGGTCCTGTTTTGCCACCTTAGTTTTTCAATGTGTTTGTGGTGGGAGATGGTGAGACCATGTAGTGCTATCAATATGCAGATGATACCTAGATCTGTGTTTCCTTTTTAATGGATCAGATATGCAATTTCTTTGTTCTCCCATTGCGTGGCTGAGATAGCAATTTGGATCAAAGTGAGTTGGATCTCAGTCCAGACACAGGTGATGCTGTTGGGATGGGGGTAAAATGAACCTCCAGAAAAAACGCCCTCTGTTGGGTGTTTTTTTCAGGGAGAACCACAATTTGGAGGTCTGCTTGCCCCATCAGCTGGTCCAGAATTCATAGATAACAGTAGCAAAGAATGGCTTTTTAAATCTTCATCTGGTTTGTCATATATAACCACACCATTGTTAGATATTTGTCAGTTTTCCATGCAGTTGTATTACTGCAATGTGCTCTGCATGGAACAACACTTAAAGACCTCTCAGAACCTTCAGCTAATGCAAAATGTGACTGCCCACTTATTTTTGTTGCTCTGCACAATAAAATATGTGTATTACATGGAGGCATCAGAGATAGCACTGTCCACCAGTATGTTGCTGGGTGCAATTCCAGTTGTTGCTTGTGATCTGTAAAGCCCCCCATGGCTGTGTCCAGAGGCTTTACAATAGAAAAGTATTAGAGACCCACACCTACTTAGCTAACAAACATTGTGATTATGGTATTCCATAATCCCATAAATAGTATAGGAACTCTAAATTTAGTGGTAATGCCATGCTAAACATGGGAAAAATTGATTTTTAATTGCGTATAACTCAATTATTTTAAATTTTCTTATGCAGTGAGGAGTAGTCACCTGGAAAGTTTCAACTTCATCTTGATAATTCAGTCCTTTTTGAGTTATGCATGTACAAAGGCTGAGACTCAAAGCCTTTGGAAAATGATGGAAAGATTGCCATTGACTTCAGTAAACCTTGGATCAGGCTCAAATTAGTACTTTTAAATCTACATACACCTTGGAATGGGCAAGTGGAATTTGCTCAAACTTTCAAAAACAGAACCAAAAAACAAACAAAACAAATCCTTATCGGTGTCAGCTATAACAATGAAAACATTTTACAAAACATTTTTCTGATAGAAATTTTCACTAAAGGAAACAAATTAAAACATCCCTTGCTATCTAGGGTCTTATAATGCATTTATGCAGCCCTAATGAGATCTCAGCAATGGCTGTTTCAATAGTGAGCAGGTTATTTAGCATAGCATAATAGTCAGTAAAACAAAATCAAAAACATCCAAGATGCTGTGGAGTGCTGTACACACTTCCATTCTCCCCTCTCATTCACTGTGGAAATAATATTTGGTACAGTTAGTGAAGAAATTTCTGAATTATTCTGACAGGTTTCAGAGTAGCAGCCGTGTTAGTCTGTATTCGCAAAAAGAAAAGGAGTACTTGTGGCACTTTAGAGACTAAATAAATTTGTTAGCCACAAATTAATTAATTAGCCACTAAATTTGTTAGCCATAAATTAGGTGCCACAAGTACTCCTTTTCTGAAGTATTCTGTTAAACATGCTAATCACAAGACAGGCTCAGGAGCTTTGAGTCTCAGTGCAACACACTGGCTGCTGCTTACTGTCTAAGTTTGAATATTGTTTCATGTTTATGCTGAACTCTGCTTCCTATAAATGCCAGTTATAAGACTGAACTTGGAGCCAGGCAAGAACTGTATTTACAAGTAGTTTCTGTTGTTGATGGACTTACTGTGCACATTGAATGTTAGAGTTATTTTCTTTTATTCCATGTGGATGATTTTGTGTCTTACTCTTGAATGAATCCCTAGAGGTTTGAAATAAATGAAACTTTGAGATGGGCTGTTTGGCTTTCAAACCTAGGAGTGTATTGAGATGTGTGGCTACATTACGATGAGGGTTTTACCCACCTCCTGACCATCTCTCAGACTGACATGTAGCAATTCTCAGAATTAATATGCTTGGATATTTTCTAAGAGTGATCAAAGCCAGGAGCCTAATCCCATGCCTGTTCACTTGATGAATGGGTCCTAAGGCTATGACATTTCTAGAGGTACAATCTGAGTAATAAAACAATAAAGTGACCTGACCAAGATCACATAATTAAAAGATTTAAAAAATTAACCATATCCGTGTGGTTCAGACAGTCTGTTCAAAGGAAGTTAACAAATAATCACAGTACAATAAAGCAGCATTAGGCACTCCAATCTAAATTCATGGCCGTTGTGAGTGATTTAAAATTAATTGTTTTCGTTCAAAATAATTTCAAGGATGGTTGAGCATTTATAAACTTTACATTTTAATGGGGATATCCTATTATGCTTATCTCTTTAAATGTAGGTGTTTTTAATGAATTTGCAGAATGGAGATATGGCTGAAAACCCCAGTGATGATCTGCTAGCCAATATGTAGTTTTAGGTCTAGTGAACCTTTCAGTATCACATTGCATTACAGAAGGTCCTTCATGATGTAAAGAGAAAAAGGCATATAGATTAAAGAGTCTTTATGTGACAGCTGATAGTGGTGAGAGCATAATTTATTACAGTGAAACTCAACTATGTAATAGCAGATGTACAGCCTAACCCATGGGCAATAAAAGCATGACAGACTTCACTAGTAGTTTGCTGGTCCAGTGGAGTAGTTTGAGGATATTGTGGGTATCGTGTTTGGATGGGTGTCTCAGCCCAGCCCATATCTAACTGTAATCTATGACCACTTAAAACAGCTATGATGAATGCTAAAGAACAAGAATGGGAATCTAAGTAATATGTGTTTGGCAATGGAGCAGTTAATTGTCTCATGCCATTTCTCTGGAGTGGAGTCTATTTTATGTTAAGGGACATGGTCAGCAATACATTTTGGTCATTTGCAAAATGGCACATGTAGCAAGTGAAAAAAAAAAAAAAAGCAAGGACAAAGAACTTCCCTTGTGTTCATACAGCGGGGAAAACTCCTTGCTGTCCTCCTCATCTGATAAGAGTGAGTACTGTGCTTTTTATGTACGTCACTTCTTTTTCTTGTGGCTTAGGAACATGCTGAGTCAAATAATTGCACTCTCTCTAGAATTACATCACCAGTCAGGGACAGGGGGAACTGCCAGACAATGGAATTCTGAAAAACCTCAGATCCATGGCTGAGAGTTGTCTTCCTCTTTCCTCTTGATGACTGTCACTTACTATCCAAATTTTAAATGAGTTAGACCCAGAAGGCCCAGTTCCCCCACCCACATTTTCCTTTACATTATAATTGAAAAGGCTTTTCCTATAGCTTAGTCATTGCTGGGTTAGATACGGTTCAACCAGTTACAACTGCAAATGTACAGAGTTGCTTTCAAAGAATTCTGTGGCGTTTCATCTATACCACAAGGGGTTGGGGAAAAAGTGAGGAGAGGGTACTGTGTTTCAAAGTGGGAGACTGGGGCAAAAGAACTACTGTGTAACAAAGAGACCAAGAAAACAGTGGTCTTTAAAATATTTAACAGTTGCAAAAATTCAGTCTACTATTTTCTTACTACCACTTTCTCTATCTTTTATTTTTGTTGCTGTGGGTATTGTGTTTTTTGGGGGAGGAGGTGAAAAGGGGGGGCAGCGGGTTATTTTGAGTTACTAACATTATTTTGAAAAGAGAGCCTGAAAGAAAATGTAAAAATAAGGAAAACCAAGTTCCTAATTTGGAATGATATTAAATATAAAATGTAGAATAAAGGTAGCTGGGAAATGTGAGGATATAAGTATTGAGAAATTAACATAGTACATACAGCAATGCAAAACTATACAGACTACAGGAATAATAGTCTTATGTTAGGCTTTGGATTTGGATTTAGGCAATCACAGTTCAATTTTCCTTTCTGCCACAGGCCTCCTGTGTAAGCTTAGACAAGTTGTGATCATTCTCTGCCTCAGTTCCCGCATCTGTAAAACAGATTACTTTATTTCCCTGCCTCATAGGGCTGTGTGTGGGAAAAATTAATTATCTGCGGAAGATGCTAAGGTACTACAATGCTGGAGGGCATATAAGAACCTAGATAAATTCCAACTGCAGCTCTTTTGAAAACAGACACACTAAGGTCTCTCTTCAGGATAAATTAGATTTTAGAATTAAGAATTAAGAATTAAGCTTCACACTTCAGGATAAATTAGGTTTTAGAATTAAGAATTAAGAATTAAGCTTCACACCGTCCCTTTGTACATGCCAAAGCATGTAGGTTTTCATTTCCTAGAGGCAACAACTATGGCAACCGGAAAAATATTCTGGTCTTTATCAAGTCTTTTATTAACAATGTGGTGCCAGGAGTCTGTTTTTCAACTGAATGTAAATGGAGTCTGAAAAAAATAACAGGCTCTTTCCTACCTCTCTGAATTATGTGGGGCAGGAACATTTTGGGGGTGGGGGTGGGGGGCTCTACCTAGGAGTTCCTGCCCATACTTCACATGTAAAACTCGTCAGTTAACTGTCAAACTAGGATTGAGAATTAAGACTCAACACTGTGCCCTAATATTCAGGCGTAAGTTTAAATAAGAATTAACCAGCAGCACATGTTGTGTTGGAAATTATGTTTGGTGTGTGTGGTGTCACTTACACGGAAGTAGTTTGACAGCAGATGGAATGTTGAGTCCAAAGATTCTTTAGAATTTTCAGAAATGCGCCTGTTGCAAAGGGGTGCTGGTGCTGCTGATCTGGAGGTGTGATTTAGTCATGCTGTGCCTCTCGCTGTAGCATTCGAATGCTGCCAATGGCTTGGATGGAGGTCAGTGTCAGAATTACTACCACCCCATTTCATGCTTGCTGTTTACTCTTTATTTGCCAGTCCCACCAGTTTGTACAGCATGAGCACTTTGTGTGTACTACAATGGGAAGCAATTTTAATGTGGGAGCTTCATGTCCATAGTCATCATGGTGTATGGAAGCCTATTGTTCCTCCTCTGCAGAAAATCTATTATCTCTTTACTTCTGTCCACATAAGCTCTTCCTCTTCAGCTCCTTTATTTACAGTCACCATTTCAGCATCTTCATCAGTTTCAGGATCTGACAAGAAATCTCTGCAGTCATTGGCAGTATCCTCGGTGTGGACCTGCATTCCAGCTGCCCACTTCCTAATCTCTGTTTAATCACAGGTATGGTTTTAATAAAGTAAAGCCAGTGGGCCATATTTATTGGTATAGCCTGTTTTCCACCACACTGCTGATGCAAAGAATTTGTAGAAGTTTAACAAGTGCATTAAGCAAGGTTTATGGCTGCATTGCCTCACCAGATTGGCACAAAGAACCCAGAGCGTACTGGTGAATCTGGTCCAACGTCTGGGCAGTCAGTCTCCAAGGTTTGCAAGTGGAACTGCCTGTCTGCAGGGTTGCCAATGCTGAGGAAGCTATGCATGCTCTGGTCTTGTCTCTTCTCAATCTGAAGAACCAACTGAAAAGTGACCTTAGGTGCCCCTCTTAATCCAGAAAAGACTCGACCAATCCAGGATCAAGGCAAAATACAATGCAACTTCCACCATGAGATTTACCCAAATGCATCAGGCTCAGGTATGAAAAACTCCCCAAACAGCAGCCTAGAAAAAATTCTACACTGTGTGGGAACTAATACTGAAATACTACTTGTGCATGGAAGCAATTCAAACTTGAAGCAAGGCTTTTCTGTAATACAGTAGGTCAGACAATTCACACAACTAAGCTGCAGGTCCTGAAGTTGAAAAAGATTTAGATTTGTACCCACTCAACTTTCACAGTCAAGTTTCATTGCAACATAGACAATTAAGGCATGGTCTCTAAAGCCTACTAAAGTCAGACTCCTACTGATTTCAGTGGGCTTTAAAGGCTGGCCCTTTGTGGGCATAAAAAAGTTCTAACAAACCACATGAACACAGGCTGAACTTGTACCAAGACTGATTGTGGGAACTTTTGCATTGAGTTAAACATTCTCTCTCTTACCATATTTGAAAATAAATATCTTACACTTGCACTGATGAATATCATTTAAGTTTACCTAGTAATTTGTTGTTCTCCATTGCAGTTAGGCTTTAGATACAGTACCACTAAACTTTAGTGCAAAAAATAGGCAACGTAAAAATTATAGTAACATGACCTCAGTCCCTGGAAAAATCATGGAGCAGGTCCTCCAGGAATCCATTCTGAAGCATTTGGAGGAGAAAAAGGTGATCATGAACAGTGAACATAGATTCACCAAGGGCAAGTCATGCCTGACCAACCTGATTACCTTCTATGATGAGATAACTGGCTCTGTGAATATCGGGAAAGCGGTGGACATGAAAAACCTTGACTTTATCAAAGCTTTTGATACCGTCTCCCACAGTATTCTTGCCAGCAAGTTAAAAAAGTATGGATTGGATGAATGGACTATAAGGTGGATAGAAAACTGGCTAGATCGTTGGGCTCAATGGGTAGTGATCAATGGCTCAATGTCTACGTGGCAGATGGTATCAAGCGGAGTGCCAAAAGGGTCGGTCCTGGGGCTGGTTTTGTTCAACAACTTCATTAATGATCTGGATGATGGGATGGATTGCACCCTCAGCAGGTTTGCGGATGACGCTAAGCTGGGGGGAGAGGTAGATATGCTGGAGGATAGGGATAGGGTCCAGAGTGACCTAGACAAATTAGAGGATTGGGTGAAAAGAAATCTGATGAGGTTTAAGACAAGTGCAGAGACCTGCACTTAGGATGGAAGAATCCCATGCACTGCTATAGGCTGGGGGCTAAGCAGCAGTACTACAGAAAAGGACCTGGGGGTTTCAATGGACGAGAAGCTGGATATGAGTCAGCAGTGTGCCCTTGTTACCAAGAACACTAATGGCATATTGGGCTGCATTAGTAGGAGCATTGCCAGCACATCGAGGGAAGTGATTATTCCCCTCTATTCGGCACTGGTGAGGCCACATCTGGAGTATTGCATCCAGTTTTGGGCCTCCCACTACAGAAAGGATGTGGACAAATTGGAGGGAGTCCAGCGGGGGCGCAGGGGAACAAAAATGATTAGGGGGCTGGGACACATGACTTACAAGGAGAGGCTGAGGGAACTGGGCTTGTTTAGTCTGCAGAAGAGAAGAGTGAGGGGGGATTTGATAGCAGCCTTCAACTACCTGAAAGGGAGTTCCAAAGAGGATGGAGCTAGACTGTTCTCAGTGTTGGCAGATGACAAAACAAGAAGCAATGGCCTCAAGTTGCAGTGAGAGAGGTCTAGGGTTGGATATTAGGAAAAACTCTTTCACTAGGAGGATGGTGAAGCACTGGAATGGGTTACCTAGGGAGGTGGTGGAATCTCCATCCTTAGAGGTTATTAAGGCCCAGCTTGGGGGGTTGGTCCTGCTTTGAGCAGGGGTTGGACTAGATGACCTCCTCAGGTCTCTTCCAACCCTAATCTTCTATGACATATGTAAAAAAGAGCTCCCTGTTCAAGGAAAAACATTGTTTTACAGCACTGTTTACATAATTCTGTACTTGCTTAGATCACAATCCTGTTAATTTATTTTGTGTTATCTTTGGTAAGAGCAGGCCTTGTGACGATGTCATATGAACATAAAGTCCCATGGACACTTTCCAATTTTGTGATGAATGTTTGGTTTGTGTGCAACTTGATTATCCTAGTATTTATCTGTTTAGCAGAGGTGTGCAGTATGACTTTATATTTTGTTTCTTGTCAATAAGAAAGAACACGGCTGCAGCAATTAGTAGTAATAGTAGCTTACATTTATAAAATATCTTTTACGTCAAGAGTCCAGAGTATGCTACAAATTTTTTGGCCCAATATGCACATGCATAACTATTCACAAGATTAGTTCCACTAAAGTTAATGGGCCTACTCCCATGTGCATTTGCTTTAGACTGAGCATTGATAGATAAGCTACATACCCTGGGCATCTTAAAAATTCTAATTATTTTTCTTTCATTTCACCCTCCACCACTGCTGTATGCATCCACACTTTCTCTCCTCGCTGTTCACTTTGTCTCCTTTTCAACCACTTGGTTTTGAACCTAATTTTATGCCACTCCTTAAGGTTTATCTACACTTGAAAGTGAATTCAGATTCAAGGGGGATATTAATTTAAAGCACAATGCTATTCCTGAACAACTCCATGTGTGGACGCTATTATTCCAGAACAAGAATGCCTTATTCCTGTTTAGCCCACTTCCAAAGTGAATTAAACTAAATTGATTTAAAGCCACTTTAATTCTGAGTGCAGTTTAACTACTAACCCACTTTAAAAGTTAATTCAGATTAATTTTGCTGAGTGTCCCTGTTTAGACAAGTCCTAAGTCTTGGAACAGCCTCATGCTTCCTGGGTGACATGGACCTTTTCCCTTTCTCTTTACACATCTGTTAAAATTTGCTTATTTCAAGAAGCATTCTCATATTGATCTCTTCATCAATAATATCTTTGAACTTTCTCATTCCTGAACTGTGTTCCCATATGGTATATTTGTCAGGTTATAACCTTCATAGTGCAAGAACCAAGTTTTACTGTGTGTGCCATAAAATATCACAAACACTTAGTACGGTAGTAATAATTTTCACCACAGTTAAAGTGCAGCCACCTCTGAAGTGTAATATAACATTTTAGGACAGGAAGTGAAGAACACTATAACACTTCCATGGGAAATTTTATGGAAGCAGAATATAATAGTGGGAACTGGAATTTGGCCAGTCCCCAAACAATGGGATTGGGACTGATGGGGAGATAATTGATAGAGAGGAGCCCCTCCTTCCTCCATACTGAAAGGATTACTTTCTCATGGACTGTTGTACTTGGGGTATTTTAATTGTTCTGGAGATCTTCAGCCCTTCTCATGAAGTAGAGATGTCATCAGTCAAGCTACCCTGAACAACACACTATCTTACTGCTACCTAAGAGTTCTCTTAGAATAATACACATACTGAAAACTCCATTCAGAATCAGTATTATATATCTTGTAAAGAGTAATGACATAGTATATTAGAATGCAACTCAGTGTGGTGTAAAGTAAGAACACAACAAGAAATCTGTTTTAAATACAGTTGATAGAAATGTTCTTTTCTTATTGGACTAAGGCATGTATGGTGAACAGACTGGGTCAGAATTACAAGAGGGTTGCCTTTGTTTTATTCACTGACAGAAAGAAACAAAAGAAACTACATTTACAAGAAAATGACTTCTATGTTAAAAACCTGAGGCCAAGAAATACCATGAAATTTTAGATTCAAGACTGACAGGCAATCCTTATATAGGGCCTGATCCAGTATCCATTGAAATCTGGGAATCTTTCCATTGACTTTAATGGGTTTTGGATGAAGATTTACAGCTACATTATAGGTTATTTAAAATTAAAACTAATTTTAAAAATCTAATTTAGTTTTTGACTATTGTGCTTTTTTGCATGATTAATGAACGTTACTTTTAGTCCTACTTGGAATCACTTTCTTGTTCTCATGCATTAGCATGGAGATGCTGTCTTTAGATTGTAAATGCTGGAGCTTAAATTTAAAAAAAACATTTATATTGGAATTTTAAAAACCATGGCAACATTTCTATTTGTCTTGGGTTTTGTAAAGTCTCTGGTTCAACTGTCTTCTCATGCTGGTGTAAATCAGGAGTGATTTTATGTTAATGGTATTTAACTGCAAATGAGAGCAGAATCAGGCCCCTAACTTTTTACTGAATTTAAATTTGGAGCCAAATTTGACCTGATACAATTTCTTTAAGGAAGAAGGTACAGAAATGCCATAACTTAGAGGCCTATCTCCCCATTATACTTGAAATTTTATTGGCGTAACTTTGTTGGTTACAGGTGTGGGTTGTTTTGTTTTGTTTTTTAACTGATGTAGTTATATTAGCAAAAACCCTAGTGTGGACACAGTTATACCAGTAAAAAGATGCCTTATACCAGTAGAGTTATTCCATGTCCCATATAGGAGTGGCTGTATAGGTATAATGCACCTTTATACCAATAACTTCACTCACACTATGGGGGTTGTACCACTTACCTATACTGGTATAGTTAAAGTGGCACAAATTTTATGAGTAATCAAGCCCTGTTTCTTTGCTTTGGGCAGTTAAGGTAACATTCTGAAGGCGGTTGTATCCAA